AACTTTTTTTTTTATTTATTTTATTTTATTTTATTTTAAATGTTTGACATTTATTTCTAGTCAGAAACTTTGGCATGATGCAGCATAAGAGGAGTTAGTAATGGCTAATGGGATCAATCTGCACATCCTGACTGAAAACTTATCATCACAGAGAGCTTTCCATCCAAAGTTTAAAGTGATTTCTACTTAAGCTACTTAAGGAAAGTAGTGCTTTGCTTCTAGAATAAGGTTTTGAGTTGAGTTTCGCACAAAGAAATGGTCATTAACAAGTTCTTCAGTGAGTTATTAACACTCCCTCGTGGCTCAGTAAATGTCTCGTTTCATTCACAATGCATTTCATTCGCGCAAGCAAGCCTCTGCTCTTCAGAAACCCGGGATTTCTAGCCTAATGAATGATTTATGCAGAAGCGTAGAGAGTCTTTCAACAGGCGATCTAGGATGCTGACACAGACATTACAGCAGCTGCTCCAAAAATACACCAGCTGCATCTAATGCTGATTTCATAATGGCCCTCTTACTGTTGAATTCCAGCGATTTAAACCTTTCTGAACTGCTCTTTCAGACAAGGTGTGATCACTGAAGTGAGCGGAGGATTATTGCGATCATGTGGCCACACCTGAATGATAAAGTCATCGTTAGTCACTGGATCGCTCACACGCACACCACACCACACACACCACACCAGTGTCGACTCAGCTGATGTCACAGATGCTTCGCTCATGCGTGTAATTTTATTATTCATGTTGTGAAAAGAGGTTTAGTTTGCTTAAACGGGCTGAAAAGCAAATTTAGCCTTCACAACAAAAGTGTAGGATTTGACGTTGCTTTATAACGTCAGGGTGATGATGCTTTTAGATATTAAGGCAGGCGAACAGATATTTGTTGGTGGCCTTTAACTACTCGTAACACTCCCGCCTTAATCACAAACAAATATCTACCAACCAATGTTTGCAGAAGAGCTTTCCGCCTGACCATTCCTGAATAGCTTGATAACATGTAGGTTAAGAGAACACGTCTGTCATTTGTTTTTTGCTTTCCAAGTGATATTTTATCCTCTGGTTTTCCATGTCATCAAATGGGGCCGAACATATATACTTATATGTCCCATTCACATAGTATCCGTCCTAAATAGTATTTGAAATTACAGTTAGTGTTCATTTTGTCAGCTATTTTTAATTTAGTCTTATTCTTTTAAATTAGTCTTGGTTTTAGTCCTGCTGTCAAATGTACTTTTTAGTTAATATCATATTTATTCAACCTTGTCCTGTTTTTGTTTAGTCAAGTTTTAGCCGACTAAGGCCCGTTTTCACAAACGGGGCTTAGCTTAAGCCAGGACTAGGCCTTAGTTAAATTAAGATATTTAGGCAACTTTTACAAAAATGCCTTAGAAGAAAACATTACAGGTGTGCATCTTGACATAGAACAATGACACTGACATATTTTAAGATATGTCAGAGCAAGATATTTTCAGTTGAGACGGCTCAAACATGCATTTTAGTCCAGGGGGTGAAACCAGGGGTAAATGTCTGAGCATTGTAGTCTAGTTTTAGTCAATGGAAACGTTTTGTCACATTTTCGTCATGCTGTATAAAATTAAACTGGTAATTTTATTTTATTTTTTTTTATTTTTTTTTACTCAAAAATATAGTCGAAAAGATTGTTGTCGTTTGAGAAATAAATTTTTACATTTCAGGTAGTGCACTTTCACCAATAAGCACAAATTAATAGAATGTGGACTCATAGACATGGCTTATTTTACCTCATCTAGTGTACTGATTTATTATAGGCTATTCATATGAATTAATATCAAAGACTTGGATATGCACTCTCTCTGTCTACATTATGAAAACTGCTAAAAACAAACTAAAATATTATAACAGTGAAATTCCTAATAGTAATTCCAATAATTCCAAATTGCAATAATGTTTCTCTATTAAAACAACAGCGGTCGAGTAAGTGCTTTTATTCAGCAACAAAATAGTCAAGATCTCATGACTGAACACAGACTGGCTGAATGACACTTTCATTTAAGCCGAACATCTCACACGGAGATCGATAAACTCCAGCTTACTTCTTTTCAGATCATCGTTGGCGCTTCCGCAATGAAGAGAAAGCGTGTGTGCATGGTTGCCAGATTGCAAAAATAAGCAAAACGCCGGGCAGAAAATGTGCCCTTTTAACAGAGAAGCTCTGATTTGGGGATTTGAACTCTTGATATCTGGCAACCGCACACATGAAAGCTTACTTAGTAGAGGCACGTACTGCAGTCCGTGATAATATTTTGTCTCCTTTTTTTCGAAGAAAATAAAAAGACATTTTTGTATAGTTTTATTTTTTTAAATGCATTTTAATCTCGTCTTTTATCGTCAACGATATTGCATGTTGATATAGTCACAGTTATCGTTTATTGACCTTATTGTCGTCTAGTCTTAGTCATGGGAAAAAAAGCTTATTTTTTGTCGTAGTTTTCGTTAACGAAATTAACACTAGTTAGTGTGTCCCAAATTGTAGTATGTTGAAGTGCAGATCCATGCACACTCTAACAGCTTATATTGTCCACAACTCATTGTATGTAGGACAAGGATTCAATTAGAATTACAAACTACAAATATGGCAGATATGTGAGATCGATGGTTAAGTAGAGAGGTTTTGATAAAGGGGTTTGAGTGATTAATAATCAATATCTAACATTGCAGTTTAAATGCTGATGGGATGCACATAACTAACAGTATGCACTCTTTTCTACACTAAGTATACTTTTAGGGCGAAGTGGGATGCAGCGATAGCGTTTAACATCATTTTTTCCAACATAGAGAGAAAAAATTGCCAGTTGCAACTCATTTTGCTTCTGTAATTTGTGTCAGTTCAGAGTGAAACCGGACATTTTTTAAATTGCTTTCATTGGGAAATGATTAACACGAGCCAGACAGAATGCACATAAAACAATATCTACATTAATAATTGTCATTTGGTTAAACTGATCCAATAACCCACTAGGCCTAAGTAACAAACAGAAGAGGAAAGTAGTTTTAGAGAGAGAGTGTTATTTCTTTGGAAATACTTGTCTTGATGAATCATTCACAGAAAGACCAAGTGTTTAATCTCTAAAGTTGTCCCCTTTAATGCATTAAATAGACAAGCTGACCTCAGCAACCATCTTCCCCTTCATACGTTCAGGAACTGATGCTGACTCATCAGTTTTAACATGAAAGCACGCATGTAGATCAGCTTTTGTCCGTATGTTTGCTGAATGTCTCTGAGAGTTTGTGCTGGGCTCATGAGCTGTTTAACATGCACAGCTGCACGAAATGTGTTTGGAGTCTCAGTATGGTGTTTTAGAAAAGGAAAGTTTTGAGAATATTATGCTGGATCTTCTGTCTTTTTGTGTCTTGTGACTCCAGTAACCCATTAAAAACTGCTAATACAAACAATTCTGTGAACAAATAAATTAGTGAGGTCAAATACTCTTATGCAGCGACTCAAATGCTTGCAGATGTTGTAGTGTGTTTGTGCATCTTTCTTTACAACAGCAGACACTCGGACTGATATTTTAATATCTAATGCAGTGACATTCAGACATTTTAGTGTGGCTTTGGAGTCCAGCTGAGAGTTAGTGCTGTTGTTAAAAGTATACAATTATTGTTGTTGTTGTTGTTGTTGTTGTTGTTGTTGTTGTTGTTGTTGTTGTTGTTGTTGTTGTTGTTGTTGTCGGAAAAAAAGGAAAAAAAGTTGTTGTTGTTGTTGTTGTTGTTGTTGTTGTTGTTGTTGTTGTTGTTGTTGTCGGAAAAAAAGCGAGCAGCCTTTGATTTTGCTCATCAATCTTGGCCTTTGCAGGTTTGTGTGTTTGAGTCAGCTTTAATATTCAATTTTATAAATATATGCACTCCGAGTACAAATTTGAATTTATATATATTTGTAATCTTTACGTTACTATTAATAGTACTAGTGAATAATAATTGAATCTTTTACGGCAGCAACTTTCTCATTTTGAAGCAATAAATGCATAGCATCAAAATAAATTTGTTACCATTTAGATAGCACGACATCATCATTATTTTAAAAATAATTAGCAATAATTGGTTATATACTGTATATTATCATTGTAGTTGTTTTAAGATATTCATCATTCATATTATGTATTCATTGTTGTAGACTAACGATCATTTAGTTATTATTGTGTCAAGCAGGGCTGTCTATGAATATTTGTATTCTGACTATTCATTTCAATTTATTTATGATTTTATATGTATTTAAAATTTTTAAGTAACTCTTAATAGTACTAGTGCAAAATTACATTTCATTTTGAAGCATCAAAACCGAAGCTGAAAATTTATTTGTGATCATTTTGAAAAAAAAATAATTATTCATTATTATTATTTAATTATTAAGCATTTAAAATATTATTTAAAAAATAATAATTAGGTTACACTTTATTTTAAGGTGTCCTTGTTACAGTGTAATTATACATATAAGTACTGAGTAATATTAATTAACTATATGTACTTACTATATGGTTAGGGTTTGGCTTAGGGTTACTTGCATGTAATTATGCATAATTAATTGTTATTATAATAGTAAGTACATGTAACGTGTAACAAGGACACCTTAAAATAAAGTGTTACCAATAATTATTATATATTTTATATATACTATTGTTGTTTTCAAGATATATTAATATTAATATTATATAAGAGGAATATATTCATGTATGTTATGGATTCATTACTGTAGTCTAATGGTCATTTAGTTATTATTATGTTAAACAGTGCTGTGCATATAAATTATGGGAAAAATACTGTCTCCTGATATCAGCATCAGTTAAAAAATGTGTGTGTGTGTGTGTGTGTGCGTGCGCGCGCGCGTGTGTGTGCGCGCGTGTGTGTGTGTGTACTTGCATACATGCAAAAATACCAAAGAGATTTCATATCTTGCATGCTGAGTTTGAGTGTCAGATGTCTTTCCATCAGTCTCATCACTCTAAAGTTTTATGTTTTTTGCAGTCTCCACATGTATGACCTCCTGTAAGAGGGTGGCTCCTCCTCCTGTTCCCCCTCGAACCACCTCCAAACCCTTCATCTCCGTCACCGTGCAGAGCAGCACCGAGTCTGCACAGGACTGCTACCCAGACCACCACGACCGCAAGAGCGAGGTCAACAGCCAATCAGGACGCAGCAACTCCTCCGACAGCCTCGACAGCCTGGCCAAAGGGTCACGACCCCAGCTTCCTGTAGCGCCGCCCCGTGAACCCCAGATCCCAGCGGCTGTGGTCATCTCTCCCAACCCGCTCCGAGAGTCCCATCATGAGCAGGTGAAGGCTGCAGACGAACGCCCTTTAGACCTCGTCCCGAGACGGAAACTCTCCTCCATTGGGATTCAAGTGAGTTTAGTCTGTCACACACTTGAGTACAAAGGATTTGAATCATTGAATGTTAATTCATGATATTTCATTGCCGTTTGCAGGTCGACTGTATTCAGGAAATCCAGGCTAAAGAAGAGACGCCACCATTGGCCAGATTCCAGTCGATCGGCGTTCAAGTGGAGGACGGCTGGACGTGAGTTTGTTTCGCTTCTTGTTTCTTGCTCGCTGTACGATAAACCCTGTAAAGTCTCCGAAACAGAACTCGAGAGTAGTGTTAATTTTGTCAGCTATTTTTAATTTAGTCTTAAGGGCCCGTTCACACCAAGCACGAGAACTATAAAGATAACGATAAAGATATAGTTCTAAAAATCGTTCTCAATATTAAAGAATAGCAGAGTCCACACCACAACTATAACGATAAAGACAAAGAGAAACTATATCATTGGAATCACTTTCAGAACGATTTTTTTCCCAGCTGATGAACGATACAAACATTGACAGCCAATCAGAATCCATCCTGCTATATCGAGCTCGAGAATTTAAAGCGGCAGACGCACGTGCGCTTAGAATAAACAGACGATATCATTCGCTGGTGTGGACGCTACTATCGTTATCTTTATAGTTATCGTTCTTGGTGTGAACGGGGCTTTAGTCCTGTGTCAAATGTAACTTTTAGTATTTATCATATTTAGTCAACTTGTCCTGTTTTAGTCAAGTTTTAGTCGGTGGAAACATTTCATCAGAAGTTGCTCTTTCACCAATAAGCACAAATCAATAGAGTATTGACTCGTATGCATTAAAGCAATAAGCCCCAAGAAGCTACGGGAAGCGGAGTGCCTAAAACCCCCTTAGCTGTTATAAATTCACTGTAAACCACGGCTTCACGGGGTTTATTGCTTTTATAAAACGGTTATTCCATATACGTAGTAAGGTTTCACAAAATAAAACAGAGCAAATAATGTGTAATGATATTAATAAAAACAGTATTCTGTAACAGTTGTGGTTGCAACAAAGTGGTTGTCGAGCAACACACAGAAGTAAACAAAGGTGTGTGTTTGTAGTGTAATTTACAAAAGCTTCGAACGCGGCTCAGCCAATCAGAATCAACGACCGGAACTCTCCGTTTTATAAGGTTTATTTTACCTCATCTAGTGTACAGATTTATAACAGGATATCAATTAGAGGCTAAATAAACAAAGACTTCAGATATACAACTCTGGTTGGGGGATTTGAGGTCTTGATATCTGGCAGCCGCAAACATGAACGCTCGCATAATAGAGTCTTGTACAGCAGTCTGAAATGTTTTGGCTCCACTTTTTTCAAAATAATAAGGTTTTGGTTAAGGTTTTGTTCTTTTAACTACATTTTAGTCTCCTCTTTTTTTCGTCAACGATATTTATAGTTCATATACTAATATAGTAATATACTAAATATTAGATGAAGATCTTTAAAAAAGTTAAATGGAAATTAGAAATAATGGCAACTAACTGAAATAAAATAATTTAAGTTGAAGTACTATAATTACTAACTTTAAAAAAAATCAAGCTAAATACAAATGTTTTTTAAAAATCTAAAAAAATTACAAAAGCACATAAAAATGAATAAAACAAACTAAAATTAAAATGAAAATTTTATGTATTAATATACTAAAAATTAGATTAAAAACTTTTTTTTTTTTTTAAGTAACAAAAATCTAAAATTTGGAAGTGTTACTTAAATATAAGTTTAAGTTGAAGTACTATAATTTCTAAAATTGAAATAAACATTTATTTAAATAGAAGTATTTAAAATTAAAATGACTAAAAGCTGAAAATATAGAAATAAGAGCTATTTCAAAATATGAACAAACACGGTAACACTTTACTTGAAGGGGTGTGCATAAGACTGACATGACACGTTTGACCTACCCTTACCCCTAACCCTAGCCCATAACAAAGACATCTCAAACAATGTCATCTTTGCATTAAAAATTACATAACTGAGCGAATGTCTCAGTTATCGTTTAATGACCTTGTTATCGTCTCGTCATCGTCTCGTTTTTGTCAGGGGAAAAACTCCGTTGACGAGCATTTTTCGTCATAGATTTCGTTAATGAAATTAACACTACTCGAGAGGAAACAGACACTTTTTCAGCAGCCTTGGATTGGTTCTTCAATAGAGAGAGTTCTGAGCCTTGAACCAAACCAACCAGCTCTGTTTCTGAAAATCAGAACAGAAAAACTGTGTAAGACTGTAGGGAATCCATGCAAACAATGCAGTGATTGCAATAACATTATTGTAATAACAATGCAATTACTATATAGATATATATATATATCACTAAGATTTTTTTTTTTAAGAAAATAATAAGTTTTTTTCACCAAGGAAGCATTAAATTGACCAAACGTGACAGTAAAGACATTTATAATTAAATTATTATAATTCAATTATGATATAATTATACAAAAGTTTTCTAATTCAAATAAATGCCACTCTTTTGAACTTTTGAAAAAAATGCATCTGTTTCCACAAACATATTAAACGTTTTTTAACATTGATAATAGCAGCTTTGCCATCACAGAAATAAATTACATTTTAAAATATATTCAAATAAAAAAAAAATGGTTATTTTAAATTGTAATAATATTTCACAGTATTACTAATTTTACTGTATTTTAATTAAATAAATGCAGACTTGGTGAGCAAGGCTTCATCACACACACACACACACACATAGCAGTGGTGCAATGCTACTGCTGAATAGAAATGTCCTGTAACACAGCCACACACACACACACACTG